ATACACACAGCTATGCAAGACCCAAAGTTCAGGTTGCCATAGTCTCATTTTATCAGACAAGATGCATGTAATCTACTGCTTTTCCAATTTAACTATCTGTAAACAGAACATAAAATTCAGTCAGAATAAAGCCACAAAATTGTTATGCAGATAGTTGATTTAACTAGTCAGTATATTTAAATGAATATTCACTACAATGGACGGTGGCACTGCATTGTAGATGAGGCTTGCTTTGGGAAATGAGTGGTCAGAAGGAATTAGGTCCAATTAGAACAAATCTGCTTCCCTCCCCCACCCCCTTTGTTATGTGTCGTCTACACTTAATCTAGTAGGTAAATATTTTTTTGTTATATCCCCTGACCCAATGTTTTCCTTTCCTAGTGGTATGGTTTATATAGATGGTCAGCTCTTCCGGCTATCAGAGACGTTACCATGCAGAAAACACAGTTTGTAGTAATGTGAAGAATCCATAATACAACATGTTTCATTAAAATTCATATCAAAAGGCACATACTATGTTTGATTACCTTTCCATGTGCTAAAAATATCCTCAGGGTGATTAATATGTTTTGGTTTAATCCAAAAAGGTTAGAATTAAAATCGTGTCTACATAAAATTAATCCCTTTCCCAAAATTCCCAGCTAAAGGTCCTTGCTTACAAGAAGAAAGACATGTTTTTGCCCAGTAGTTGGAGTAGTATCATTGGATAAATTTTATAGTAGTTAAACACACACTACTGTCCACTTATATGTAGGCATGTTTGGGAATCCCAAGTAGAACTGGGGAATTTCATTCTCTCTGGACATTTAATCTTGGCCCATAATATGGAAGGAAAAGAAAGTTGGCAGGTAGGTTATGAATTGAATTACTCTGAATGAGATGTGAAAACTGGCCCAAGGATTTAGTGTCCATTAATTATACGCCAGGGTGTTGTCTTAAGGGGAAAGTCACAATGAATGGAATAAGATTAGGCACAAGCACAAGAGGGAGTAATTTAAATGCCTAAGAATACATAACACTTACAAATGTTTAACTAGGCTATAACCACTTTATATACTCCTTTCCAATGTCAACAGCCAAGGAACTTTTTGAGTAACAATACTATAAACTGCCACTTAGTTTGGGGCTAGATTGTACAGCCTTTACTCTCCTCAGTGAGCACTTACTCACATTGGAAACCCCACTGCCATCTTAAGTAAGGGATACACAATCTACTCCTCAGTGAACAGGAAATTAGCTATGCCATGTTTGGCTCTAGATTTACTTCAGGTCACGATTATGAGTGCAGTTACCAAATCTCTCTAGCTGCTTAATGATATTTCAACTGTACAGAAAACAGAATGAGAATGGAAGGAAAAAAATATTTTTTTCTGATCATTCACCTAATTGGACACAAACATGAAAGGGTAAATTCAAATTAGAAACAGAATTTGGCCCCTCTGTAGAGGAAATGAAATAATTTAGAGTAACATACAATAGTGTGAAGTTTTCCATCTAAATCATTTCTCCTTCAGAACATTAGCATTTACACAGTAATGCGTTTCATGAGCAAGCTGTTATATTGGTAAGCAGAGGCATGTGGTGAGATCAAAACAAATGAACATAGTCCATAAACACAGGAACATAGTAAATTGCTGCACAGGATGTTCAATCTCCCTTCTAAAATGTTGCACATTTTCCAAAATAAGCACAGTCCCTACCCTTCCCTTTAAAATATATACCGGTACTCAAAATTAAATAACAAATGTTTTGAAGCAGGGATGAAGGACCAGATTTTAAAAGGTATTTAGGTGCCTAAAAGATGAAGATAGGTGCCTACTGGGTTTTTTAAAAGTGCCTAGGCACCCATTCACATCCTTAGGGACTGTGATGGGGTGTGCACCCCATACTGGCCCAGCAAGAGCTGGGTGGGGCCAGATGGGCCCAAGCTACTAATTAGGCTGCAAGCCAGGAAGCTAGAGGAATGGGCTCACCTGGGCCAGAACAGGTGTGGTCTGTAGAAAGCCAGATATTTGGCTACAGGGTAAGGGGTGGATGCTAGGGAAGAACAGGCAATTCCTGGAAAGTAAGAGGAGTGTTTGAGGCTGCAGGAAGGCAGGTTGCACAGACTCCCTGAGAGGAGAAGCTGGTGAACCCAGAGACAGGGGGAGTCGGATAGGTAAGGAAAAAAGCCCAGGGAAACAGCAGCAAGGTCAAAGGCAGTAGAGGCCTTGGCTGTGTGTTATAGGGTCCCTGGGCTGGAATCTAGTGTAGAGAGTGGGCCTGGGTTCCCTTACCGGTCAGTAGGTCAGGATGCTGGAGGTGACAGCTGGTATGAAAAGACTGATTTCCCCAGAAGGTGAGGGACTTAGTGACCTGACTGGAGAGCCAAGCCATGGACCAGAAGTGGCAAGAGCAGGAGAGGCCACATACATAGAAAAGATGGGTTGAGAGACTGAGCTAATCCCCAAAGTGACCAGCAGGAGGTGCTATGAATGGAGAGGAAACACCATCTCAGGTGCCCAAATATATTTACAAACTTGGCCCCAGGTCTTTGTGTGTTTTTATACAGTGTCTAGCAGAATGAGGCCCTGATCCTTATTGGGACTTCTGAATGGCAAGATAATGTACTAAATTATTAAATAATTAAGAACATAAGAATGCCTATACTGGGTCAGAGCAATGTACCTGTCTTCTGACAATGGCCAGTTCCAGGTGCTTCAGAGGGAATGAACAAACATGCAATCATCAAGTGATCCATCCCCTGTTGTCCAGTCCCAGCTTCTGGCAAACAGAGGCTAGGGACACTCAGAGCATGGGGTTGCATCCCTACCCATCCTGTCTAATAGCCATTGATGGACCTAGCCTCCATGAACTTATCTAGTTCTTTTTTGAACCCTGTTATAGTTTTGGCCTTCGCAACATCCCCTGGCAATGAGTTCCACAAGTTGACTGTGCATTGTGTGAAGAAATACTTCCTTTTGTTTGTTTTAAACCTGCTGCCTATTAATTTCATTAGGTAATCCCTGGTTCTTGTGTTATATGAAGGAGTAAATAACACTTCCTTATTCACTTCCACCACACCAGTCATGATTGTATAAGCCTCTATCATATCTCCCATTAGTCGTCTCTTTTCCAAGCTGAAAAGTCCTAGTCTTTTTAATCTCTCCTCATATGGAAGTTGTTCCATCCCCCTAATCATTTTTGTGCCCTTCTCTGTACCTTTTCAATTCCAATATATCTTTTTTGAAGTAGGACAACCAGCTCTGCAAGCAATATTCAAGATTTGGGCATCTATCATGGATTTATACAGAGGCATTACGATATTTATGCATACACTCTATGCTGGCAGGAGAGAATTCTCCCACCAACATAATTAAAGCACCCCAATGAGCGGCAATAGCTATGTTGGTGGGAAAGCGTCTCCCGCTGACACACCAATATCCACAGCAGCACTTGGGTCAGGGGGTGTATTTTTTCACACCCGACTGACAAAAGTTTTACTGACAAAAGTGCTAGTGTAGACAAAGCCTTAGGGTCTGATTCTCTGCTCCACTGCTGCACATTGACATAAGTGTTCTACCGGAGTGGAGAATCTGATTCTTACATTTAGCGAAGTACATTAGAGATCTTACATTTCAGCCCTTCTCAGTCTATTGTATTTCAGTACTTTTCTGTTATAGTGAAAGGTTCTTTTATTGAAATATGCAAGTTCTACACTACTGTACAATACAATGCTAATATTCTTGAAGAAAATAGTACAAAACAATGTATTACTGGATGGAGATACTTGGAATCAACTTGAAAACGTACATGTAATGGTAGATAATAGAGAACAAATAATTTACTCAACAATTTTAGACTGTTTTCAGTTCACAGAATGTCTACATGCAGATTGTGATGTCCTCTCATTTGTTCATTATTTGAATTAACTCAGATTTATTTTGAAAACTTATTTAATCTTATGGATCAGGTGCGTACAGGGTGTTGCCAGTATTTAATATTTTATACTGTAAATTCAAGTTGCGTTAGTTGCAATTGGCCACATAAGACACATGATGCCCTTTCTGTTTCCTGACTGGATGAATGTAATTCTTATCATGAAGACATCGCAACAAAGTCATGGGGCCTTTGTTTGATGTATTCCTTACTCTCTCTCTAGTTGAGAAGTGTGTATATGTGGTTGCCTATATCGTAACTTAGAGGAATTCTTGGAGTTCTTGCAAATGTGTTCACAACCATTTTAATTGGGTATACCATACAAAAAAAGAAATCTGACTTTTCAAGCTGTACTCCAATAGAGGTATCTCACCCTCCCTGTTAGACAATGAACCCAGGCCTATTAGTTCCAAAAGAAGACAGGACAAAGCTATACCATTACTGTATGCTTTGATCTCACCGGGGAACCAGGTTTATCATTTATTTCCTGCTTTGATCAGCCAAGCATTAAAAGGTGCGGGGGGGGGGGAACATTGTTTGAACAAGCATAGGAATCGTTATGGATAGGGATATTGAATATGCATTGCAAAACTGAGCTGTTGCCAAAAGCAGGCTACAAAAAATAGTCCCCCCCCCAAAAAAAAACCAATTTGCAAATGTGAGGAGTACAGGATCAGTGTATTTTCAGTTTCTACTAAAACAGGCTGGTTGAACAGCACAGCTTATGAAGTACAGTAATTTGAATTTCTTTTAAACTGAATTTACTACTATATGTGACTCAAAACTAAAAACTATCTAGGGAAGCATCTCTCCCAGCTTAGTGAAGTCTATATTTAGCCTATCTTTCCCTCCTTCTAGCAAATGTTTGCTAGCTTGAAAATTAACTAAATTAATTCACCCCTACTGCACCTCTGTCTCACTCCTTTCTATCAACCCTCATAATAGGCAATAGTGAGAAGTAATTATAACTCTCTCATACTCTTCATTAGGTTACCATCAATTTTCTTACATTTGTCTTCTGGTATTACTGTCTGGCTTGAGGCTCTTTATTATACTGAGGCAGTAGAGACATCACTTCTCACCTGTACTGAAGTGCTGAAGATTAGGAGTGATTTCACTGCACCTGCTGCATAGTATAGGAGTGTTGTGTGTGATCTCACTGTCAGTGTCTCTACTGGAGTATGATGAAGTAATCTGTTTGAGAGGTGACATAGATGCCTATTATCTTTTTTTAAATCTGCTTAATGCTGTTCTCATTACATTAACACATACTGTTTAATCCTCTAAAAGTTCCATTCATACACTTCTGATTGCATAAGGGCTCTTCAAATGCAAACTTATTTTGAGCTTCTGGTCTGGTCCATAGAATGGGGACAACACACCATGAGGATTAATCTGCAAAGTGTACAAATCCCACCCCCGCTCCCCAATACTAAGCAGCTTCAGGAGAGATTGTGCTCCCTCTTTTTCCTTTATTTACAACTAAATCAGATTAGAAATACTCTTAATTGGAGATAAAATAAAAGGGCCCAATCGCATAAACCCTTAGTCAGTTCACCTATTCATTATCCTGGTAGGATGGGAGTGATTCAAGTGACATCTGCCTAAAAAATCTGTGCAAACATGCTGAGGAAAACTACTATACCCAGTGGTAGAAATGCTTCAGCTCCTTATGCTTCTTCTCCTCCTTCCTCCATCCCCCAACGCAGAGGAGATGAATGGGACAGACATGCGGGATCACGTGCCTCCACAGATTTTCTGCTTGGCTTGTACTGCCCATGCTCAGTAACACCATTGAAGCCAGCCAGGGCCGGCTCCAGCTTTTTTGCCACCCCAAGCAGCGAAGTGGGGAAAAAAAAAAAAAAAAGATAAAGCCGCGATCGGCGGCACTTCGGCGGCACCTCAGCCGCGTTGCTTCATTCTTCGGCGGCAATTCAGCGGCGGGTCCTTTGCTCCGAGAGGGAATGAGGGACCCGCCATCGAATTGCCGCCGAAGACCCGGACGTGCCGCCCCTTTCCATTGGCCGCCCCAAGCACCTGCTTCCTTTGCTGGTGTCTGGAGCCGGCCCTGAAGCCAACTGCCCTCACTCTGCTCCCCCACTGCCGCAACTGCTTTGCAGTCATTTCAATGAGATTAAGGCTGTGGCAAAGTACAGGTGAATGTGTTGCCCTGAAGAACACATGTATGCATTTCAGTAACTGTGAATGCAGCTTCTCTTGCTTGAGCCTCACCATCTCTAGTCTTGTTAGGGGTGCAGTAGCTGTTAGCAACGTAGCTACAGTGAGAATGCATTGATAGGAACAACATTAACTTAAAGATCACATCTCTGTCTGATTCTTTTTACCTGTTATTTTTACAAGCAACACCAAAGATTACCATAAAATGAACATAATCACAGAAGAGAAAGTCTCTATTTTTCACCATTTTGTTTACTTTGTGCATCTGGCAATATTGTGTATAGCAGTTTCACTCTTTCCCTCATGTAGACAGTTTTTGTTTCCATGGATTGATTATGGAACAGGTGACAGAAAAAAAAGGAAAACTGTATTGTAAATCCACAAATTGGGGCATCTAGAGCAGAGTTCCTTAAATACAGCCACGGTGGCCACATGCGGCCACCAGGGGCTTTTCTTGCAGCCACAGCCTTTTGGGTGGTTATTGGTGGGGGTGTGGCAAAGCAGTGGCCCCTCTCTGGGGACGCAAAAGCTGGAGGAGCAGGCAGCCAGTGAGTTCTGCACCTTCCCAGAGGCAATGTGGTCAGGCTTCAGCCCTGGAGTGGCAAGTGGCAGGCTTCAGCCCCAGGGCTTTGGCCTCCGTTCCCTAAGCTCACCATCCCTCCCATCACTTCTGGCCCCCGCTGTCTTCCCTAGTGCCCCATTGCCCCTGGCTCCTGCTGCCTCCATACCCACCTCCCCATTCACAGCTCAATTTGTCCCCGGGGTTTAGGGTGACCAGATGTCCCGATTTTTATAGGGACAGTCCCGATTTTTGGGTCTCTTTCTTATATAGGCTCCTATTACACCCCATCCCCATCCCAACTTTTCACACTTGCTGTCTGGTCACCCTACTGGGGTTGCCAGGGCTGAGTTAGGGTACGTCTACACTACGAGATTAATTCGAATTTAGATAATTCGAATTTGGGAAACAGATTGTATAAATTCGATTGTGCGCGGCCACACTAAGCACATTAATTCGGTTTTTAACCACATTAATTCGGTGGTGTGCGGCCACACTACCCCATTAATTTTAACCACATTAATTCGGTGGTGTGCGGCCACACTACCCCTAATTCGAATTAACAAAATCGATTTTGGTGCTACTCCGCTCGTCGGGGTGGAGTACAGAAATCGATTTTAAGCGCCCTTTAATTCGAAGTAACTGGCTCCGTTGTGTGGACGGGTTAAGGATTAATTCGGATTAACGCAGCTAAATCCGAATTAAAGTCGTAGTGTAGACCAGGCCTTAGTCTGCTGTGAAAAGTGATATTAACAAACACACAAATATCACTTTTCACAACAAACTTAGTAGCTAGCAAGTCTTTAAAAAAAGCAACCAAAAAAGCAAAAGAAACAATAAGAAAAAAGACATGAACGTGCTGGAAAAATTGTCTGAGGCCACCAAAATATTTGTTATGAGAACCCCTGAAAGAGTAGACACAGATAAAGGAGAAAATGTGATGTAGCTTGAAAAAAATAGGCATGGTGAACAAGAAAGGCAGCTGCCTGTATCCTGGGACTCAGAACTATGTTTATGCTTCAGGTGGGTGTTACTCCAAGAAGCCCGCTAGAATTTCTAATCTAAATTTTAAAGTGTGTATGGCAAAGTTTGTACACAGACTTTGTTGAATCAGACTTGCAGTTTCACCTGAATTATTGTAGTTATCCAAAACAAGCTAACGTAGCCCAAGGTCGCAAATTCTCTCAATTATCTGATACCTTGCTTTTTCAGGACTTATTCTTTGCCCTCTTTGTGAAAAAATGAAAATTACATCCCATTTTTTAATCAGATCTACAGTTCAATGCGAAAATTGAGGATGAACGATATCTCTTTGGTTAGACAATTCTGGCTTTTTAACCATTTTTACAGCCTCCTAAATATCAAGGGTGAAATCCTGGCTCTACTGAGGTCAATGGCAAAACTTCCATTGACTTCATTGGGGCCAGGATTCCTTCCTCTAGTCTCATGCAGTAGCACTGTCTTGAAGATTCTGTTTATATATGTAATGCTAGCATATGATTTATGAGATTAAGAAGAATTTTCCTAAGTAACCTCTGGGCAATATCTATTCTGTTATAAAAATCATGAGTGTCTAAGCCCTGATAGATTAGAGAACCATTTAACAAAAGTAGAAAACTGCCCTACCATACACAATTTCTATCTAGCTCTTCAGTTTGCATCTTCTCTTCACCTTCCTACTGCCCTCTGGTTAACCATCCCAATTTTATTAATGAGTTCAAGAATCTTCTGTGAATCTTTTTGCTTTCCTTAGTTACAGCAAACATTCTATTGAGACAAGCAGATATTTTAACAACATATATGCGCATATTGGAGTGTACATAAACTACCTGTATGATTAAGAAAATTTAAGAAATCTCTTCACTCAGCTAAAAATATATCCTCTAGGTCATAATTTTTGTTTTATAAATGCTTCAAATGAGCTATAGTATACATTAGTGTGTAAAATTCAAAGATATGTCTTATTACTCCTTCTCCTACAAATGACATGATTTATGGATATGAATAGAAGTGTTGCACATATTCAGTGTTGTTCCTTTGTATCACAATAACTCAGAGCATAAAGAACAGCAGCAATTAATTCTATAAATCTATAAAGAAAAATGAATAGTGCACAAGTAAGATCAATATAACATTTACTCCTCGGGGAATTCTGCACCCCAAAAAAAAACTGTGCCAAAAAATTAAAAATATTGCAAAATTCTGCTGTGTCACTCTGTATCTCGGGGAATACCCTGCACCCCCATGTTCATCCTTATAATACAATTGTGTGGTATCCAATGCAAAGTTTGTCATGTTGGAAGTCTTTGGAAGGCTCATGATGCACTGAGCATTGTTGTTATAGTAATGTTATGTTATAGGTTGTAATTTCGTGTATATAGTTATGAGGCTGAAAATGTCTCCTCATAGCTTAAAACAAGCCCAGGCAAAACTCACCAGGAACAGAGGGGCAGTTCACACCTCATCAGGACATGTATGGGACAAACCCAGCCCAGCCTCACAAGAACAAAGGACATTGGCCTAGGCAGTAACAAAGGATCTGTTGGACTCTCGAGTGAGTCACCCACCCTTCCTTTGGTTAGTTTAGGACTACGATGAGGTAATGCTCACCTGACCCTTAAGGGGGGGGGAGTAAAACCAAGGGGGAAGAAAGAACATGATAAAAGGGAGAGACCTTTGCCATGCTCTTCCTCTCTCTTCTACGTATATCTACAGACACCACCACCAAGCGACTGAAGTGCTGATCAAAGGGGAGAGCCTGGCTGAAGGGCAACCAGCCAGCCTGTGGTGAGAAGCATCTAAGTTTGTAAGGGCACTGAAAGTGTTAGGATCAGCTTAGAATGCGTTAATAAATTTGTTTGTTTATTCTACCTGAAGCAGTGCATTTGGTTTGAAGCGTGTCAGAGACTTCTCTTGGGATAACAAGCCTGGTACATATCAATTTCTTTGTTAAATTGACGAACTCATATAAGCTTGCAGCATCCAGCGGGCATAACTGGACACTGCAAGATGGAGGTTCCTAGGGTTATGCCTGGAACTGGAGATATTGGCTAGTGTCATTCGGTTGCACAATCCAAGCAGCAGCTGGCCAAAAGTGCTCACTCACGTAGCTGGGAGCAGCTTACATGCCAGAGGCCCAGGAGTGAGGGTTCTCACAGCAGAGCAGGGTAAGGCTGGCTCCCAGAATCAAGGATTGGAGTGACCTAACAGATCACCGATCCAGATAACACCAGAGGGGAATGTCACATCTGCATATGTTGTCAAATAAAGCAATATAATCACGCCAGTTTCAATTATTTTGGTAATTTATTTAAATACAGGAAAAAAATTTAATACAGGAAAAAATGGCACAATAACTATTCAGCATTTCCTAAACACATGGAAGTTAAGTTACAGATACTTGCTAACCAATACCCTGCATTCCAGTTATAATCCTGGCTGGCTACTTTTGGAAGTGCTTGGTTCTGACTGTCCTGACATTTTATCGATTGATTGATAAACATTTTATTTGCCCTCAAAGTCTTTTTTCTAATGGGTAAGTAAAATAGATCCTGAGCTATAATCTAACCCCATTGTGCCTCTCTGGCACAGGAAAAATGCAAGAAAGCACATAGATCATCCTAGCTGAGGATTCCCTTACTGTCATTTACAGTAAGGCTCCTTTACACCACTCTGGCAATGTAAAGGAACCCTAAAACTTTTAGACCTGTTTTATGCTCCTGGGGGAATTCACTAAGAATGGGAACAATCAACTAACAACAATAGGAACAATTATGCAGGCAGGCTGCTACATTTTCTGCTTTGCTTGCGGGGACAGAGCCTGCCTCGTGCTTACCTCCAAACACTGAAGCCCTACTGCTCCACGTTGGGTGCGCCACAATAGCGAGCAAGAGGGACAGTCTCTCTCGCTTACACATGCAGCTCCACCCCCTGATGGTAATTGACATCTCCCCACGCACATCTCCACCAGCTACTGCGAGCACTCGAACAGACACGCCTGGGCTGCTGGGGAAGGGGCGCATGTCCTCCGCTGATTTCTTTGCTTCCCCATTTTTCT